GACTGCTAACCAGAAGGCTGGCGGTTGGTTCAAGCCCACCACCTCCTCCTCGGAAGGAAGACTGGGCAATCTACTTCTGTAGAGATACCGCTTCAGAAACCCAAGGAGGGGTTGCTGTGAGTCGAACTGACATGTGAGTTTGGTTTGGTTTTAGTCTTTATGGGAGCAGATCCCCCAGGTCTCTCAAACAGAGTGGTTGGTGAATGTGAAGCACTGACCTTTCAGTTAGCAGCCAAACACTTAACTAAGGTGCTACCAGAGCGTCTGTGCGACTAGACCTCCAATGCTGTATTAGCTCCACCATACGTGTGAGGAAACTGTTGAGAGTGAGGAGCTGAACCCTGAACTGTGTTGTGTTGTATTAAAATGTTCCATGATCACCTCTTCCCTTCGGGTTTTTTTTTTTTTTTTTAATTTTTGGATTTAAACAGGTTTACTTTCTGCTGAGCTTCTCAAGGCTTTTATTTTTCAGACTTTTAAAAAAATTATTATTGTTATTGGAATAAAAGGGACATTTACTTTGTAAAAGATTAAAAACTTGCAACAGAAGTCTAAGTAATGAAAGTATGTTTCTGTCCCATCACAAAAATACTAACCTTTTCCTGCTCTTAAGTCTGAAATACTCTTTCTAGATTTTATGTTTTTTATAGACTTGGGACCAGATTATTCACCCTATTTACTGTTTTTTTTCCCCAGACTCTCTTTTTTCCCCTTATAAGCATGTACAGAAGGAGCTTTGGTAGCACAGTGGCTGAAGCATTCAGCTGCTAACCAAAAGGTCGGCGGGTCGAACCCACCAGCTGCTCTGTATCCGCCCTCCAAGTTTTAATGAGCATATTCTCGGACCATGCTGTGGTTGCCGCCCAAGGTGCTAAATCTTTGTTATTGAATAATGTCAGTGTCACTGCTGAGCAAAATTGTGTTCTTTCTTGAGAGTTCCCTGCTTTCCAGCTGAAAACCAGTCCTCCTCATGCTTGGTGGGGCGTCGGTGAGATTTCTTAGCTTCCCCTCACGTTGCCCTACCTTCAGCCTTTTCCTTCAGCGGGCCTTTGACCCCTGTTGCTCATCTCACCAGCGGCTCATTTTCAGGACGGAGGGTCTCTGTCACTGTTGATTTCCCTTCTGTGCTATGGGCCCTCCTTTCAAAGCCTGAGCCGGCTCGGCTCAGAGCAGAGCCAGCGTCCAGGGCCTCGGTCCTTGTAGAAGTTGCTGCCTCACTGCCCTGGCCACTGAGTGTGTTTCAGTGGCTTCTCATTGAAGTGTCACCGCCCGATGCCCTGCAGGGAGGTGGCTTATGTCACGGGCTGGTTGGTGAACGCTCACATGAGCTTTTCCCCGAGCCCCCCAAGGCTTGTTGGGCCTTTGTATTTCTTCTTGTTTCCACCTCAGTGTCTTCTGGGGGCTCTGCTTTAGAGAAACTGGTGTGGACTAAACCCCGGGGTTCTCACTCTGCTTTCATCCAGGCCACGGGCAGCTGCCGGGCCTGGCAGAGGCAGCCCTGGCTTTGGAGTCAGTGAGGAGGTAAGTCTTGTGCGGCCTTGGGGAGGCTTCCTTCTCTGAGCCTCAGGTTTTCCGCCTGTGATGGGGGAGCGCGAGCATTGTCTCTGTCAGGAGGCCTCGAGGGAAGCACCTGCTCCAGTTCATAGCAACCGAGAAATGCGTAACCCTTCCTCCCCTCTCCCCCACCCTTTTACCTGCGGACCTCCTCCTCCACCTCATCCACTGTTGAGAATCTGACCTTTTGGCAGTGAAAAAAGGCCCTTTCTGTTCCCACCCCATCTGGACTCGCTGTCTTTTTGTTCCTCGGCACGTCTGTGTTGGGACGGCGTCCCCAGCCTTTGCTGCTTGCCTCTGTCTCGGCATGGCCTGGACACTGAAGCCCCCGGAGCCTGATGGCCAGCAGAGGCTCTGGTTGGTGGCCTCCTGGCTGATGAGAAACGGAAAAGCACACAG